GAACATAAGAGAAACCAAAGTGGACAGATTTTAACATCCCTACCTAGTGATTAAAGGAGGTGCCCGCTTCAGACTTAACCCTCCTTGTGGAGAACAGCACATATAGCACTGGAGAGGGTACAGCTTAGGACCCTCATTCCGGCTCAGTGGTGTAGCGTGGGGGCTGGGGCTTCCTTGCGCCTGACCATACCATACAGAGCTTCCTTGCGCCTGACCATACCTCCACTCCTGGGTTAGGCCTGACCTGAGGCGGAGAGGAGAAGAGTTAGCAGCCAGTTTGAGGATGAAGAGGTGGAGAGTCAGCGGCAAATGTGGTGCCCCTAGGAGGCAGCTTTCTCATTCCCAGCAGCAGCTCCACATTCTAGGGGGAAATGACAAGGCATTATAGACATATTGGTGTGTAATTGCGTCGACAGGCGGAGTCCCCCAAACCCTGGGCGGCCCCCGTGTGGAATAACGACTCAAGACAACGTGCTATGGGATTAAAATTGGCCACAACTTTATTATGTTTCAGATGTGGGTAGACCTTAGCTCAGGCATTGGGCGTTTATCCCTCCCAGTCCCCCGCCGGGGATCTGGGGAACATCAGGGTTATTCAGTGTTGGGGGGGATGGGCTGGCTCTGGAGAACATATGTTCAAGCAGAGAGAGCCCGCCCCCATTACGCCGCTGTCACAGGGGAGAGCAATGACGACCTCTAGGCGTACGGCCAAAGCCTTCCCTCAAACAACTCCTTTAATGGGGAACCCTGGTATCGCTGCCACAAAGAGGAGGGGGGCATGGGTCACCGCTGCACGCCCCCCCCCCAATTCAGGGAAAATAGACTAAAGGATTCCGCCCAAGGCCTGATACTGCCAAAGTTGTGATGTTTTGCTACAGGAAAGGCAAACCTACCAATGCAGGAGAATTCCTTTCCAGCCCTTCAACAGCAACTTTGACATAGCAGCGCCCGCGTACCTGTGAAGGAAAGGTTAGCCTGCAAAAGAAGTCTTAACTGAGGATGGGTAGGGTGGAAGAAGCTCTGGAGCCAACTGATGATTCCCAGGTAAGATCCTCCCCCTATTGTGTGGGCAGGTAGTCCCTCCCCCTACCTGGCTCGATCACCTTGGCAACACCTCTCCAGGTGGGATTGGGCAACTGAGGTAGGCAGAGACCTCCAGGTATCCCACCTGGGGGGGAGGCGAAGCCAAGCCTGTGCTAATGGCATCGCATAGGGTCCAGGGGGCTGCGCGCGACTACGCAAAGGGCGCCCCCCATTTAATGTGGGGAGAGGTCATTCTTATACTTCTATGCACACACACACACAGCTTCTTTTCAAAAATTGCTTCAACTCATACACGAAACTAAAAGTGGAGGCAGGGGAGCAAAGCTGTACCAAATAACCTCACCCCCTGGAATTGCTGTGCTTTGCTGCATTTTCCAGACAACTTAGAATGCCAGTCGTGCAGGTTTATAGATCGCTTGCACCTAGTTCCAGCACCTTTCATGCTCTTTACCTATCCTAGGCAAAGTCCATTTTTCAAGCAAATATTCCCATGAGGAGTTTGCAGATATAAGGTTTGAAAGTGCTGAAGTAACTCTTTACAAATTTATTTATTACATGTATATGTGTCACCTTTCCTCCAAGGAGCTCATGGAGGGGTACATGGTTCTCCCCCTCCTCATTTAATCCCCACAACAACGCTGTGAGGTAGGTTAGGCTGAGAGGCAGTGACTGGCTCAAGGTGAGCTTGACGGCTGATCTGTGGACCAAAACCCTGGTCTCCTAGGTTTTAGTCCAACTCTAACCACTATACCACACTGTCTTAGGTGTGCATAGAGGCAAAACATTAGCAACTGCTGCTCTATCATACACTTTAGTATGATGTTACAGGAACTTGACATGCAGCTCTTACTCTTGACTTGTGGCCATACTTAAATTGCAGGTGCTGAAAAGCTCTATTCTCATATATGAAGAATTGTTCAGTATACATTTCACGATTCAAACTCGCCATGAACAGCCTTGAAAACAGTTAAGCATCTGTCTTCAGGTACTTCAGGCAAGCTTTTTTTTTTTAATTGCTGTTCCTCTCAGACTGCATACTGAACAGGCAAATGGATTTTCTCTCCAGTGCTTCAAACAAGGTACAGCTCTTGTTAATAAGTTGTTTCTCAACAAAGGTATTTTACACATTTTCTGTTTTCCAGTCCTCTCTGCAGAAATTATCAACCACCTCTTCTATCTGCAGTGACCCTGCTGCTGATAACGATGAAGTTTTTCGGAACTGATTTTGAAATACTCCAAAGCTATCCCTCAATACATACATGATTCTTCATGAACTTAACTTGGAGTGACTTGTGTTGTTTCTGGCAATTATGGGGATTTCTCTCAGCTGCTGCTGTTATCAAACTCTTCAGTTAGTTGACTTATCTCTTCACTGCCAATGTCTTGTTCCTGAAATATTCTATGGCAGCAACACTGTTCTAACATCACCATTGGCTCGTTTGCAGACCTGTGAGCAGTATGTGGCATCTCTGGGTAACTGCCAGGGGCCTGACGCTCCTGACAGGACCCACCCTGAATCCCTCTGTGTGAGTTTTTCAGGGCTCCATGACGCTGGGCAGTTGAATCTAGAAACCATCAATTTCATTTTTCTCTGAAGAACTGTGAAAAATTTAACTGGTGGGTCACCAATGGTGCTTGGGGAGCTGCCATGCTGTTTAGAATCATAGAGTTGGAAAGGATCCCAAGGATCACCACCCTGCAATGCAGGAATCTCAAATAAAGCATCCACAACAGATGGCCATCTAACCTCTCCTTAAAAACCTCCAATGAAATAAGAGTCCAAGGGAGTCTGTTCCGCTGTCAAAGAGAGAAAGTTCTTACTGATGTTTAGTCAGAAGCTCCTTTCTTGTAACTTGAATTTATTGTTTCAAGTTCTACTCTCTGTAGCAGAAAAAAAGTTTGCTCCATCTTCCATGTGACAGCCCTTTAGATATTTGAAGATGGCTATCATATCTCTTCTCAGTCTCCTCTTTTCCAGGCTAAACATATCCAGCTCCCTCAACCATTCTTCATAAGACTTGATCATCTTGGTCGCCCTCCTCTGGACACATTCCAGCTTGTCACTATCCTTAAATTGTGGCACCTAAACCAGGACACAGTACTCTAGGTGTGGTCTGACCAAGGCAGAATAGAGTGGGACTATTCTGCCTTGGCCAGACCACTAAATGTACCTAATTTAACATCTCATTATTTTATATCAAGGTAAATTACACATTTTCATAAATACGGAAAACCACAAAGAAGCCATGATTTTTTTTAACAAGGCTGCTATATTGCAATCTGAGTAGTTCCCAAACTGACTGCCTATGTGAAATTACAATTTTATTGGTGGCATTTAGGGATAGGGAAGAAATTCAATTCAATTTGTATTTAAAGGTGAATTTACCTAATTTGCACTTCCTGAAACATTACATAAACCAAATGCAGTCATCTTCCAAAATCACACTTCTCCGAATTTTGCAATGTAATTCTCCAACCAAGTAGCAGGTACAAAAATGCATATGCTATGTAAAGTGTACATAAAGAATGCATATGTTGATGAAAATATTATACAAGAATGAATTATAGTAGAGGAAATAGTTTTGCAAATATAAGTATATTTGAAAAACTGCAAGCAAAAATGTATATATTAGGAGAAAGTTGCATTAAGGTCTGGTGATTTCCATGAGAACTTTTTATGAAAGGGTTCACAAACTGATGTGAAGCTGGTTACAATGAGAGCATGAGGTTTCCCCAACAACGCTCAGTGAGCTTCATGGCTGAATGAGGATTTGAACTTGGGAATGTCCTATTCTGGAAGTCCTGCCACTATGCTATACTAGCTTTCAAATTACAACCTGCTATATATTTGTTTGTTTTCACCATTTAGCATCCCAAGAAGAAATTAATGGTGAATTGCCCACCTCGGCAAGGTATTGGCTTTCTGATTCATTGCCACTTGGACTTAATGACAAGTGACTCTGACTCAACAACCATTTGAAATCAAGAGAGCTTAACGCTCACTGGATTTTATTTTAGCCCTGTATGTTAGTTTGCCCGTTTGTAACAAATTAGGGAAAATGCAAAGCACAGCCTTTTCTCTCTCATTTCTAAAATTTGATTTTAAAATCAAATAAGCAAAATATCAGAGAGCAGATTATCAAACAAATTGGTATTGTCAAGTTGTTTACTTGGAAATCACTAAAAGCAGAGCAAAATATTTCCCACAGCAAATTCGACAAACACACTTTGGGAGTGTGGGAGAGCATGAATGTGTCAACAAAGGAAAGTAGTAATAAAATAAATCCAAGCATAGCACAATGGTTTTAATTTCCTTTTGTTATTACATATTTCTGCTTACTTGTACATTTACTTCTGTATGCAAATATGTAATGCCTAATAATTATTTTACAGCTGATTTTTTTATTTTAAAAAACTGCTTTCTTTTAATTGAAATTATATCTACATATTGCTGTGATCCCCTGTGTCAATATCCCCATTGTCAGCTGCTAATTTCAAGCTTGCATGAAGAATAATTGTGGCATTCTGGTTATGTTTAGAAGCATTTTAAAGCTGAAAGGAACTCAGTGGCCTTCAACGGGATTTGCATTTGCTTGCAACACATTAAACTACACATTTTCCCTTCTTTTAGATCCTGGGTATTTATACTCCCCTCTATGCATACAACAAAGCTATACAGTTGAAGATACACCCCATTATTTGGACAGAGGGTCATGGAGCTGTTTTAAGGGGTCTGGTAATATGTATTTAACCCCATTGGGCTTTTGTTTTTGCACTTTGTCTATGTCAGTAGCTAATTTATGCAACATGAAGTTAGTTTGGGGTGATCTCCTTTCTGCCAAGATACAGAAGACACTTTTCATATGTCTTGTCTCATTGTCATCTAGTTCACTGTTATCTACATTGACTGGCAGTAACTCTCTGTGTTTCAGAAAGGGAACATTCCCAGCCCTACCTGGAGAAGCCAGGGATTGAACCAGGGACCTTCTTCTGCATGCAGAGTAGATGCTCTGCCACTGCAGCACTGAGATCCCAGCCCTAGCAGCCAACAGGTGAGGTCCTCTGCCTGAAAGGAGTAAAGACAAGGCACTCACCTGGCTAAAGACAAAGGTTGAGGCTATGTCCCATGAGTATCATACAGGAACAGGTGTTCTAGCAACAGGGCATTCCCACTGGTACATACAGAGGAGTCATGTGCTCATAGGGCTGTTTTTGTTAATGGTTCGAATAAATAGACATAGGTTGGGAACCAGGAGCTTGAGATCCGAAGTAGAAAAATGTGGAAAGGAAAAGGAGGGCCTTTTCTCCTGCAGGCCCCTGCTACCTCACACCCTGTTCCAATGGGTCCAAAGGAGCAGATGGGAGAGCACAGAGGAGTGCAAAGTTGCATAGCAATCAGGTGCATTGAATCAAATAAATGTGGTTCCAAATCATTGTTGTCTTATTGTTACTGTAAGAAGGAAAGATCATTTGATAATGAATCTTGTCTGTCTTCCTGTATTCCCACACAATTTTTAAATTAAGACAAAATTACTGGTTCACTAGTTCTTGAGTACCAGCCACATATTGTTGGAGCATGTTTCTTTTTGCAATCATTTCTAAGTGTTGATATCAACCAGAAGATAATTTTTGTATCCGTTACATGGAGATAAGTACAAGGCCAAGTAGAATTTCATACATGGATAATTCTTTGATAATTAGCAATAACTTCCCCCAGTACAGCTATCTGCAATTCCACCATATCTATAACAAAATGTGCTTTATTATCTTTGTCATCATAGTCATATTTACCATTATTACCAATCCCAGATGGTGGGGAGGGGTGGTGTGATGGTGTTCATCTGATTTCCGATCAGTACATCCCTGTTTCTTATGGGGAAGTAGAGGTGGAGGGGCTAGGTGACAGTGAGGTCAGCATGGTGCAAATGCGCCTGCAGGAGCACTAGATGGCTCCAGCAGTGCGTATGCTCCTTCACTGCCCTCATCCTCGCAAGGACCAGTGATGTCCAATCAGACATTAGATGAGTGCTGCTGCCCCACCACACTGTCTTCTACTGATAATTACCATTATAAATTCTATGCATTTGATATGGCATTAAATAACTGAAGTGCTAGCCCTCCATCATTTTTATTTGAAATTAATATTTGTTACATTATTCAAAAACATTGACAAAAACATTTGAAAATAGAATTGACCATTATTGCATTTTGCAATTTTATCTTCAACGCATCCAAGTGTGGGCTTTTAAATCATGGATAAAAACCTTCACACACCCACACATGGAACACCTCTAAAATTGCATTCCTGCTCTCTTTTATTCCAGTGACATCATGGAGGGACTCACCACCAGCTTCACAGAAACAAAGTGCTTGTTCAATTGTCTCTGCTGTAAAAGAACAGCAGTCAAAAGTGCTGTTGAGAATGAATGCTTGTGGAAGAACAATGGGGGGTTGGGAGAGAGGCATTCCCACAGTGACTGGAGTAATTTATAAGGTATCAGTTTGGATAATGTGCCTGCCATAGTGAACTTTTGTTTAGTTCTTTATTGTTTGTAATATTATGCAGTCATTTTATTTTCCATTTTGGGAGGTGGGTTTTTTGTCTTAGTTCCTAAGTGCTTGATCTTATAAGGTGGCCTTGATACAGTGGGCATAACGGCAACCTAGTAGAATGGACAGCAGCAGTAAAACACAGTTACCTCAGGATAAGGTCATGTTGGAGGTAGTGTCACTCTGTACATTAAAGTGGGCAAGCTGGAAATCCCAAAAGAGACAGACACCTCCACAGAATCATTGTGGGTGGTGATAGTGGCCCCCAAGAGGAATTTAGTACAGTCGTACCTTCAATCCCAAACGCCTTGGTACTCGGACGTTTTGGCTCCCAAATGCAGCAAACCTGGAAGTGAGTGTTCCGGTTTGCGAACTTTCTTTGGAATTCGAACGTCCGACGGGGCTTCCACAGCTTCCAATTGGCTGCAGGAGCTTCCTGCAGCCAATCAGAAGCCGCGCTTTGGTTTCCGAACATTTTGGAAGTCAAATGGACTTCCAGAATAGATTCCGTTTGACTTCCAAGGCACAACTGTACTGGGAAAGTGCTATTGTGCTCCTGATCAAAATGCTCAGGGAGATCTTGAGATGAAGAATGAAATCAAGGAAGCATCCCAAAGAGAAAATATTCTAGTAATGGGTGACTTCAACTACCTCCATATAGACTGGCTACATATGTGTTCCTGTCAGGATAAAAACGATAACATAATGTATGGTATGGAGAAAGTGAATAGAGAAAAGGTTTTCTCCCTCTCCCATAATAGTGGCACTCCTGTACTTCCAATGAAGCTGCATTCTGGAAGATTCAAGATGGATAAAAGAAAGTTAAACTATGGAACTCACTCCCACAAGGTGCAGTTATGACTGTCAACTTAGAGGACCTTAAAAGAGGATTAGACAAATTCATGGAGGATGAGGATACTGATGCATACTAGCTACGATGGCCGTGTTCCACCTCCACTGCCAGAGGCAGCATCCCTCTGAATACTAATTGCTGTGAATCGCAGGTGGACAGAGTGGTGTTGTTCTCAGGTTCTGTTTGTATGCTTCCCACAGGCATCTGATTGGCCACTGTGAGAACTGGATGCTGGACTAGATGGGTCATTGGCCTGATCCAGCAGGCTCTTATTATGTTCTTATGTCCATGCCTCTTCTCCCCGTTCCCCTTTTATTCTTGAATCTCCCTTTCCTTTTGTTCATGGGCCATTACATGTGATGTAGTGTTTATCAAATAGCAGTCTGGTTCAATTCGGTCTGACAAATGCTGATACTGTGGCACTTTCTGAGTGACTCTTTAAATTCATGGTATTACAGCATGACAATATGAAACGAAAGCTGTCTCAATGGTTTCTCAGGCAGTGCACAAACAATGGATAAAATTATGGATTCCCTAAAGTCACTGGCAAAGCGCTCGTGAATTTAAGGACGCCAATACTTTCCACTGTTTGGCCTCCTTATTCATCTGAATTTCTGCAGCACACAGCACTTTGTGCCAGAGTTTCACTCATCCAAGCCAGTTACATGAAAACTGGTAGGCTGTGGCATTCACAGGTGGCAATCTCTGTTATCTGTAAGACTTTAAAATGTACTCTATCAATGGAAATTGTTCCAGCTGAGATTCACACACAACCCCTCACACATTTTAGAACCCAGATTGTGCATGTATGGGGTGGAATTGTCCACAAATTGAGGCGAGTGTCCACGTCAGACAGTCGCCCTCACAAATTGGACAGTGGCAACAGGAGGTGGAGATAGTTCACTTAACCCCAGTGCTCTTTTCACACAACAACGTCATGCCTCATTGTAATATCCCTTTAGAGAGCTCTAGCACCCTGCATGATCTGGGCTTTAAATCACATAGGGAACCTACATCAGTTTTCTTAAATCTTGGGTCTCCAGATTTTGTTGTATTACACATCCCATCCTCCCCCACTAGGGGTGGGGAAGAAATTTGTTTCCGTTTTCTTTTTAATGTGAAGCTACCCAGTTTGCCGTTACAGAACATTTGAATTGGCATTGTGGATCCACTGGAAAGTTACAGGTTCGCTTTGGGCACTGAATTTAAGATTTGGGGAAGTTATTTTAATAGTGGGTCACTGTTAAAATATTGGTCAGATATCGTTGTTGTGCTGTTTTCCTGCAGCCTCAATAAAACAGCACAATATTGATAGGTAGATCCTGGAGAGGAATATTTATTATCACAAAGGAAGATGGAATACAATTTGATACTTTTTCTAGCAAAGGACAAATGATGCGGACAGCTATTGAACAAACAACCGGAGTGTGTGTTATACATCATTTAGCAGCAGGAAAGGAAGAGATACAGAAATTGTCATGTGGGAAGTCATAAAGATTATTTGCAGTTGCAGGAGCCAAGAGCAGAATGCTCATTTGATAACAGAACTTTGAAATACAGACCATAAATATTTGACGCATTTTTATAGACTTCTCCCCCTCCCTACCATTCCCCAACTCGGTTGTGATTATGGTTTTGACTATTGTTGGAACCAGAGCTGTAATTTTTCAAAGGTGCTTAATCTGTTTTGCAGAGCAAATAAAAGAAATGAAGGAAACATGAATGCTCATCGAGGTATGCTGTTAGCAAATGCTAATGTTTGCTACCTCTTCCATCTGGCGAAAATAAAGAAATAAGGATCCTTTCAATGCAAAGTTTTAGCTTCTGAAACTACACTCCCCATGTCTTGAAACTGCCAACACAGCTGCAACACAAAGTGAGCCAGAATGACATAGGGATTAAAATGTTGGATTAAGACAGAGGTGAAGAACTTTTTTTTCAACCAAAGGGTCACATTCTCTCCATGGCAGCCTACTGGGGGCTGCATAAAAGTGCAATGAGGATGCAAGCAGGCCTAGTAAGGGATGTGGCTATGGCGGGAGCATGGTCTGAAGAGAGTCACCAGGGCCAGATAAAGAGCACAACATATGGGCCTTGGGTCTGATGTTTCCCATCCATGGAATCGGACTTGAGAGGCCAGGTTCAAATTCCCATTCAGTCCTGAAGCCTACTGCATGATATCGGGTCAATCATTCTTTCTCAGTTTTAGCTACTATCTGGATTGAGCGTTGAAATAGGATCGCCATGTGCCCCACCTCTCCCATTGCTAATGTGGCATTTATGTAAATAGTATTTTGGGGGCAAACAGAACATCATGGGTTGGGAGAGGTTGGGTTCCGATCCAGTTTAGGAGCATAATCCAGACCTTAAAAAGAAAAGCAAGATTAAGCACTGTGCTTTGACTCTTAGCAAGGGGGAAAGCTTGTGTGCCACCCTCATCAACACAACACAACACAACACAACACAACAGATTTCTGATCAGGCTGTAACGCTGCAATTCTGCAGATGTGCTTGAAAGTAATTAGCAGCCACTGAAATTAGCAACTTGACCTAAAATCATGTCCTTTTTTATCAGATCCATTGGGTAACATTACTCAACAAAGATTTCTTAAATCAGGTTGC